TCGTAGTCAACGTTCAGCAAATGAGAAATTTCAGGTATCAAACTAGACCACAACTTGACATGCTAGAAAGCAGGGCAAATAGTTATCCACAAGATGCTGATATCCAAGCTGAATATTTAAGAGTAGGAACACTTCAACTTGTTCACTTTTTCATAAAATACTGTTCGTTGATATACTAATAATATTAATGTATCAAATTTTAGGCGATGGTCGTTGAAGATCCCCCTTACGTCATACGTCGCTGCGAGAGCGGATTATATGCTACCAATGGTGCTTGCCAGGCAGAGTATGTCAAGGTAAAACGACTTGAGCAATTCATGCGTGTATCTGATAACAACGGTTATCTTTGGCATTTGACCAATACATTGGACAAGTTAGTTTCTACAAACCAAAACTAAATTTCCGTCACTTAATATTGCTAGGCCCTTCGGTTGACAGGACGGCTACCAAGGGTAGGTTGATTAAATATGAATTCAATAAAATGCAGTTGTATTAGTCAGTTAGTAATCTAAAAATCGTTGATTAACATCACTTACTTTAGCAGGAAGACATGTATGCCGGAAGCGAGCAACAATTGCCAATAGGTAGAGAAAGTAACCAAGAGTTCCTTGGCTCTGAAAATAATCCAGTTAGTGTTGTTACACAGCAACGAAAGGGTGAGCTTATTCATTATTACTTACTCATTCTATGCAGCACAACGAATCCAATATTAACTATCTTTATTCATATTTGACGTTAGGTACGTTTTTCAAAGAACAAGTATGGAACACTATTCGATTTTTAATTGGAATGGTATTAATTTTATCTCTTATTGAAGCTCAATTACAAATGAAAAGTATGTAGCATTAGCCTTTCTATGCTATCGTTAAAATCGTCCAGTTGAATAACCTGCTCCTTAATCACAGATTAGAGTAACTAGTATCATTCTCTTTAGTGTCCAAGCAAAAAGAAATTATGCCCGATATGTCAGAAAAGAAGTATCGGTTCACAGATGTACAAGGCGTAAGTTCATTTTTTACTGCACCATGATATATCTTTACCATAAGTAAAATATGAAAGCAAAAACCGACTGTTTTACTCTTAGTAGACATGTAGTTGCTTTCCATTTTCTCTATACGTGGATTATCCATTAGTAAAAAAATTTTAAAGTTTTCTCTCTGTAAGTGCTTACTCGTTGTGTTGAATTCGTATGGCAGGTTGACGAGGCAAAACAAGAACTGCAAGATATAGTTGACTTTCTTAAAGATCCTGAAAAATATAAACGATTAGGCGGAAGACTTCCAACTGGTACATTGACTTACTTATTCAGAACTAGAGATATAGGATAAAATTACTGTACTAATTTTATGTTGTTCGACAAGTGAGTCTTTCCTCATTTAGTAGTAAGTATTTAGTAAGCCGAAAACTTTTCCTTGTCTGAAATTAGGTATTTTGCTGATTGGACCGCCTGGTACTGGTAAAACACTACTAGCTAGAGCAGTAGCTGGAGAGGCTGGAGTCCCGTTCTTCTTTTGTTCCGGTTCTGAATTTGACGAAATGTTTGTTGGCGTTGGAGCTGCCAGAGTTAGAAATCTTTTTGGTAAATTATAAATATCTTGCTTTGTCTTGTTATAATTTCGTGATCTTTAATCATTGCTAAATAATTGAAATTACTGGACTATTAGAAATTAGAACTATTGTTTGATCTCGATATTTATGCAACCTTTATAATCATCTAAGCAATGCAATGAAATAATGCAGCTGATTTCTAAAGTGGTATAAAATATTATCTGTTTAGCTGCTGCTAAGGAACATTCACCGTGTATAGTTTTCATTGATGAATTGGATGCAATCGGAGGTACCCGTGTCACAACGGACCATCAGCCATTTTCACGCATGACACTAAATCAACTACTAGTTGAGCTAGATGGGTTAGTAAATAGTTATAAATCTAGTGTTGATCGTATGTGTTATAGTAGCTTATCATCAGCAGAAAGAAGTAAATGCTATTCTTCATTATAAAGGTTTGAGAAAACTGATAATATCGTCATAATTGGAGCAACCAATTTTCCTGAAGTCCTAGACAAGTTAGTACTGTAGTATATCTTTTAATAAAAAAGGTATATGTATGTAAAGAACGATTTTGGCAGCTAAGTTTCCAAATTTGTAACATTATTTTATAGAGCATTAGTAAGACCTGGTAGATTCGATAGTCGAATTAGTGTACCATTGCCGGACGTTCGAGGTAGACGAGAGATTTTAAAATACTACTTGGGGAAGGTACCTACCGCTGACAATGTGGATGCGGCTATCATAGCAAGGGGTACCGTTGGGTTTTCTGGTAAGTTAGTTTAAACAAACTACTGTAGCTTACTGCAACGTATGTACACCAAATTGATTAACGTCACTACGGCGAATGCCTTGCAGGAGCTGACCTGTCCAACTTAGTTAACCAAGCGGCAATTAAAGCAGCACTCACATCTTCAAGTTTGGTGTCAATGGACCATCTGGAATTTGCTAAGGATAAAATCATAATGGGTATTTCATTTTATGATTTTAAGAATTGTTACAATTCTCAAACAGTGACGAGAAACTAAAATGCATAAAACATTTGTCTAAAATAACATAGGTCCTGAACGAAAAAATGCTACTATTGAAGAAAATAATCGTCGTTTGGTTGCTTTCCATGAAAGTGGCCATGCACTTGTAGCTTTATATACTCGAGGTATTGCTCTTGTTTTAGTAAAAGGCAGAATATACTAAATTTGTAGGCTGTAGAGAAATAGTACGAAAATAACGTTATCGTTAATTGTGGTTCCAGATGCTTTGCCAGTTCACAAAGCGACGATCATGCCTAGGGGTAGTGCTTTGGGTATGGTAAGTCATAGGTTCTTATCCTAAGGAAATGAATCGATGTTTACATTTATCAGTGGTAAAAATCAATTTCATGTTTGTGATAGGTTACTCAATTACCGGAAAAAGATGAGCTTTCATGGTCAAAGAAACAGCTACTAGCTCGCCTGGATGTTTGTATGGGAGGTCGTGTTGCGGAAGAATTAATTTTTGGAGATGATAGCATCACAAGCGGTCAGTAGTGGGCTGAGAACTGTCTAAAAATGAATTTATTGCTAGGACTACTGTATAATACTCGCACAGTTACCGTATCTTGCAGTACTAGTATAGTGCACTAGCTAATAGACTATATTTGAACATATTGCTTCAGGAGCTGCGAGTGATGTTCAGCAAGCGACTGAAATCGCTAAAGCAATGGTAGCGAAGTACGCGATGAGTGAGAAAGCTGGTCTGGTACATTATCATGATAAAAATAGCCCAGAAGCGGAAGCGATGATTGAAAATGAAGTTCGCCAGCTTATCAAGGTATATTACGGGAAAGAAGAGACTTGTGATTTTATCCTAATTTGTCACTCGATCCTTATAGTCCTACAATATTGCTTCTATCTATAAAATATAGGATGCGTACGAAAGGGCTAGGAATATTCTCAAGACACATTCTACAGAACATAAACGACTGGCAGAGGCTCTTTTACGCTATGAAACATTAAATTTAGAGGAAATCAAAACTGTTATTCAAGGAAAATCATTAAAACGTGATGGCTGAACTGATAATTGGGGGTTGATATGCGCTTATATCTATTTCTACTGCAGAGGTTGTGATTAGGATATTATCTGAAATGTGAAAGGACATTATCAAATGCATAAATGTAACGGAAGTTTTAAATTAACGTATTTATAAGTGTACAGTTGATAAATAGGAAAGATTTTAATTTAGCGCTACTGTAAACTAATTATAATTCATTAATTAATTATTAAATAAAAAGCTGTTTAACGTTCACTCTTATATTGGTATTACAGTTACAGCCAGAATTATTATGAAAATTCTGACTTAACATTCTTCTATGATTTACATAGATGATAAAGCTAATCGCCTTCGTTAATTAAATATAATCTGACGTGATTTTATTACAGCATTAGCCCATCACTAATTATATAAACATTGCAATAAATGTATTTTCTATGCTATTTTACATCAATAATGTACCAGAATTACGATTGATAATTTTATGTTAGGTAAGGCGAACTTTTCGAAGAATGCCACGTACACTAAATCATGTATAGCGATGTATAACTGATCTCTATGAAAAATACGGACAATTCACAGTACGCTTACTTAAAGCCATTTTTATTAATGTTAATGGTACTTCAACAAGTATTTGACAATAAATAAGCTGAATCAGAAAACATGGGTCGACTACTCTGAGTAGTGTAACATAAGCTCGTTATTTCAAAATTGCCAAGTTTCTGGCATCTTCTATTATACACTAGAAAAATTTGTAGTAAAATTCGTCTCTATTTTCAGGTAGGGTCGCATAAATCTACAGTAATGCAGTTAGTTTACATTTCATACACTGCAGCAGGATATATACAAAATAAAATAATTGCAGTAACCAATGATCCTATTTCGATTTTACCAAGAACATTAGAGGCTGTGATCATTGATAACTGTTTCTTAATTGACATTAGGAATGGCATTAGTAACACGTATCCACTGTTGCAAGTCACTGCAAATTCCCTAATTCATAGTCTGCTTTTAGAGCGACGCATCATATATAATACAAATTGACAGATGAACATGAAGAAAATGCCTTCCTTAACGAAATCACTTTACAAAGATCAGCAATAAGTACATTAGCATGAGCAACCAATTAAATGTCATCCACCACAATTTCATCCTGCTCATTATCGTTGTTGACATTGCTAATACTATGAACTGTATTTATGTTATTACCCAGGGTGTTATTTGTTGAAGTTACATCACCGTCGACTGACTGATTTCCCTTATCTTCAATTTTCGGTTGTGTATGTAACGGGCAAGTAGAGATATCACTGATTAAACTAACAGAATACGAGCAAGAATGTTGATTACTGCCAATAAATGAGCATTTCCGAAACAAGACTTGTTCAGAATCGAAGCAGATATGTCTGGAACAGTATTTGGTCAATGGTAAGCACCTTCTCGAACATTTAACTCCATTCTTGTTGTAAATGCATCGTTGGGTTAATCCCTTATAGCTCGTAACTTTTCCATCCTTTTCTTTTGTATGCTTCAACAAGAGAGCTTCTTTACCAAACTTTGTTTGATAACGTCGATAAGCCGCAGTAGCGTAAGAACGAATCGTCTCTCCTTCACTCTTGACGCCTAAATGAAAACGCGTTTTAGTCATGTTAAGATAATTGTCGTACGTGCTCCCAAATCGCGAAATCCGAAAGCTATCATCAATTTATTTTTATTCATTTCTGAGAAAATGAAATCATAAATGAACCTGTTAAATCTTCGACTCCTTTGACAGACGCCAAATACTGTTTCCTTTTTTTTCGTAAAAGGGATTGCATCCAATCCAACTGATCATTATATAATTCTTTTAACTTTGATAATTTTTGACAATAAATTTTACAAGCTTCCTTTTCAGTGTAGACATTGGCATTCCTGTAATGACAAGAAGTAAATGAGTGCAAAGTGGCTGGTAACAAACCCTTAAAACATGTCTTTGGTAAGCTATTCATGGTCACCATGACAGTTGACAGAAACTAATGAAAAAAGCAATCGTTACTTTAATAACTGAAAGTCTTCATCCATGCCGTCAGATTCCGCTTCGCTATCAGCATCTCCTCGCCAGACATCTTCAACAGGTAATTTTGCAAATGTGCTACTGGCTTCGTTATCATTGTTTATAACAATCTCATCTTTAATAAAAATATGTTTAACTTTAATTGCAATAGAACTTCTATTGAACACTAACCATCATTCGTACATTTATCGTATTCTGCTAATGCTTGTACTGTTTAAGAGGTCAGGTGTAATAACACCTTAGAATCTTACACGTTTTAAATTTAAGCTACATTAACGATAACTAGAAATAGTCAAAGAATGATGAGCATTAAGGTAGGTAATGATAGGCGTATTAATATATTTTAAAAGATGATACAGTACGGCTTGCGAAATTTGATAGTTATCATAACACTAACCATCAGAGAATTGAGATTGCGAATCGTTTCGTTTATTGGATGGAGTTAACGGAGTTGGATTTTTGTTTCGTTTCTTGTTACTTTTATTGTTAGCATTGGTAGAGGTAGTTGGATCATAACAACTCTGTAAGTGATTTAGTATCATTTCACCAATGGCAATTTTTTTCTTTTTGCCTTTACATGGTAGTTTCTTGGTTTGCTTACGTTGTTGTTGTTGATGATGAAATTTGCATAGTTGGCTATAACCAGTTAAGCACATGATTAATGATTTCACTGCAAATTAATTTATTATGACAGGAGGCTAAATGCTTACTGTACTTTATGAAGAATAGAGTACTATTGAAGTTATCTCATCATATTATATTATTTCTATACACTGAACTGGCTAGACGTCCTATCACTTTGCTAACATTGGAAACATATTTAACTTTTCAATATTTTGAAGATAATGATTGAGAACTACTTTACAGTCTATTTTAAAATAATGATATTGGGTTGTCATCCTTCATGCACTGTCTATGGATGTTATCCATGTTTTGAACAGGTATGAAATATAGCAGAATATTATCGCAAAGCAAAGTTATAATCTACAATGCTATATTGCTACGCTTTCCGACTTGACAGGGTATATCTAGTGACATACTACATGCACAATTTACCTTTTGTGTTGTGGATTCTTCAGAGCTGCGAAAAAGCACTGTTTACCAGAGTTTTTGCCAACTTTTCCAACATAGCTACATTGCACATAAGGGCTGTTTTTATCACGTAAGATATGGCGAACACAGTAGGAATACCCAGTAATTGGTTTTCTTAAACATTGTCGATGCGGATAGCGGCATAATTTGCCTGTTAATAATTCAAATTGACATCCAATTAGCTTGTGTTACGAGCACCCATTTTTGGAATACACTACATCTATGTCATGAAGACCGTGCAGCGCACTGGGTTCTCTATCAGCATGCTAAAGTGTAGCCCAAAATAGGACATTATCGTGATTACAGAACAGCAAGAGAGACAAGGAGTAATCAGTAAGTTATCCATTTCTTCCAGTCTGAACAGTATAAGACATGATTACCCATGTAGTATTTACTAACTAGCCAATCTTGGTCAAAATTCACCGCAATCCATACGCAGACCTGGCAGATTGGACGATTTACAGTCTACTCGATTGCTATGCCTATTGCGTGTCGATACGAAGACAAAGATGCCGTCTCCTATTTACTTCATCAACTGTACTATTAGGAAATCGATCAGGAAATTCAACATATAGTCATCATTCAATGGGTTAATGCGGCGGCTTCAATAGCATTAATAGGGCATAAAGTTTGTGTAAGCGCTGCCATTCATCCTTCTAAACTAGGCTTAAGAATAAAAGCATCCTTCACCATTACGGTGACAAGTTTGCTGTTGGTCTATATACAGTAGTCCAGCGTAACGCATGTATTTCGCCCCTACTATGACGAGTCCTACTTGCATGATTCAGCGATTGATTGGGAGAAAGTATGTTATCCAGTGTTGGGGTGATAACTGTCTTTGTGACAAAAAAACAGATTCCATTTCCACTGCAAATGGTAGAGAGATTCTTTCAGAATGTAAAACTAGCAACACCACATCCAATATACTCGTCCATACAGTACAGTGCGTATGCCATTTGACCCAGTATAAGATCCCAACTTACAGTCATTATTCAATCCCTTTTTTATACCCGTTTAATCATCCATTCACCCCACTATCTTACATCAAGATAAACTAGAATAACACATCTGTCATTGCAACATGGAATGAGTGCCATAGCCATTAATAATCAACTCCAACTTACCAGTTTTACTGGACAGATGACAAACCGTTTTGCTTTTCTTCGTCTCCGTCATTGCGCTTTCTGCCTTGTCTCAGGCCTATGTCGTGCTCCTAGACACTGGTCAGTCAATGTCATCCGTCCAGTAGATATCGACTCTTGGCTTGGCACTGTATACTCGGACGTACGGAGTTCGGACTGGATGCCATCGAGTTACCGTAGAACGTGCAAGTGGCTACAAGTGACTCGACGAGTAGTCTGTTCTATACAGTACCGCCGAGTACAGTGTTTCCTATGGAAATGCAGTTTGCACTGCGTGGACCGACTACTGGAACAAGTCCTCGTCCTTCTTGACGGGGACTGATGGCAGGGATCAAAAAGAGCTTGGAGAAATGAACATGATCGAAAGCTGTGATGGTCAATCTAGTTCCTGTCGATGGTCAAACCCTCAATGAAACTATCCAAAAGAGGCTAATTGAAAAATGGACTTTCTACTGTAGGCACCAATTTGTGAAAAGTGGCCAAGTTTGCAGTGTCCTCTGGCGAGGGCAATCGCTACTGCTACTGTACACTGTACAGTTACTAGATCCATTTTTCACCGTCATGCCTGAAACTAGTGCGTTGTAAAATACTGTCTAGACGTAGTATCATGTCCAAATCTCTCCTCTTGCAAACTTTCTACAGTATCATTTGGACTAACACTAAAAGGAAAGCAAGAGCGATCCAAAGCAGCCATCAGTGCAAAATCATGTTGAGGCTTATCCATTTTCCCCTCAATCTACTCTATGCAACCCATCCCAGCGTATTTCATACTGCGCAAAATCAACTTGGCAGCCCTATTGGCAGCTCATTTCCATGTCAACGACAGCCAGGGCAATGTGCGTTCGTTATGCGATAGAGTTGAAATGAGGACGGAAATAATCGGCCTCCATATCATTACTATAGTCGACGATCGCTTTACGTCTCCCTTTCTTGTTGGGGGGCAGTAGTCCATGACACACTGCTTCTATCGCATCAAGATCGTCCATAGCCTTGTGGTTATGGTGTATATCTACTGTCTAGACATCGACATGGACACACATAGATGTCATGTATGTCGTTAGTCTGGCCAACGATTTTGTCGGTTGTTGGATTTTCCACGGTAGTGAAGCAATTGGCAGTCGATTTGTACTGCAGCCAAAGCTACAGTACTCTAAGAATAGTCGGTGATTCACGACTGTACACTGTACACTGTACACTGTAGTGGAGTACTATACACTGTATGAAATGACACCTTCCACCTAGTCAAAGTCTACTCTCACATCCAAGTGAAGCAATTGGCAGTCGATTTGTACTGCAGCCAAAGCTACAGTACTCTAAAAATAGTCAGTGATCCACGACTGTACACTGTACACTGTACACTGTAGTGGAATACTAAAGACTGTATGAAATGACACCTTCCACCTAGTCAAAGTCTATTCTCCAATCCAAGTGAAGGAATTGGCAGACAATTTGTAATGCAGCCAAAGCTACAGTACTCTAAAAATAGTCAGTGATTCACGACTGTACACTGTACACTGTAGTGGAGTACTATACACTGTATGAAATGATACCTTCCGCCCAGTCAAAGTCTATTCTCCAATCCAAGTGAAGGAATTGGCAGTCAATTTGTAATGCAGCCAAAGCTACAGTACTCTAAGAATGGTCGGTGATTCACGACTGTACACTGTACACTGTAGTGGAGTGCTATACACTGTATGAAACGACACCTTCCACCTAGTCAAAGTCTATTCTCCAATCCAAGTGAAGCAATTGGCACTCGATTTATACAGTACTGCAGCCAAAGCTACAGTACTCTAAAAATAGTCAATGATTCACGACTGTACACTGTACACTGTAGTGGAGTACTATACACTGTATGAAATGACACCTTCCGCCCAGTCAAAGTCTATTCTCCAATCCAAGTGCAGCGATTGGCAGTCGATTTGTACTGCTGCCAAAGCTACAGTACTCTAAGAATGTATTCAGTGATTCATGACTGTACACTGTAGTGGAGTATTGTACACTGCATGAAATGACGCCTTCCAGCCAGTCAAAGTCTAGTCCCCATCCAAGTGAAGCCGATTTGTACCGCTGCCATCGCTACAGTACTGTACTGTGTAGTTTATTCAGTGATTTACAGTATGCCTGCACACCTAGTTGCTGTACTGTACTGTACAGTACAGTGTACAGTACAGCAACTAGGAGAGATTGACTGCTACAGTACAGTAGTGTACAGTGTACAGTACGGTCTACGACTGTAGGCCTAGAGTGTACTGTACTGTGGAGACCTTTCTAGAGGCACTTGTCTTGTTCACGCGACCGGCGTGGACAAACCTTTATGCGCAGGCCTAGAATCCAAGGCAATTCTTTCCTTGCCACAACTGCCATAAGCTAGGACGGTTCCGAGAGGGTAAGTTGGCTGCCGCATTTAGAAATTTTTTAATCTGCTTCGCATCGGCATAATCGATATATCTTAGTCAAGATAGTGCTAGTGAATAAGTTGTAAGCAATCAGGATCATCCCATCATCAACGTTATTGAATAAAATAATCACCTAGGAATAGTGAATTTTACTGTTTAAACCCTCGTGTAGAAATGGAAATGCAAGCGAGCAGGATGCTGCAACTGCTCCAAAGCTTTCCTCATACAATGGAGTATAGATGGAGAAATAGCCATGCTACAATACTGTACTATAGCAACGCCGTAATAACGTCATATCGAGATATCCATACTAAAAGTAAAGCTTGTATTTCAAGCACAATATTACCGTATTGAAAATGGATAAAGCCTAGGTATCATCATGAAGGAGCACCAACAGTAGAAATGACCGTTACCGATAAAAGCAATTCCATAATAACATTCTCAGTGTTACAAAGTCTTTTTGTTGAATCTTGATAGTGTTGAATAGATTACTTAGAGAGAGAGAATAAGTTGCATTGATACTTGCAATTCAAATTTTGTAGCAATGTCCTAGCATAATTACTGTGAACAAATGATCATCTCGATGAGCTTAGAGTCGATCAAGTCTAATGAACAGCTCTGAACGTAATTAGACCAATACTCGTATATCACAGAGAGTCAACAGATTTTGACGTACAACTTTCAACAAACGTGAAAGATCATCTTTCCATGACGTTTATGCCTAATAGAATGCAGAACTTTACCTTTATACTCTCGCTCCTACAGAAATCAATGTTACATTCTCCAGACAATTGATTATACAGTACTGTACAGTGTAATTATAACAGACAACGCGACCGATATCAAAACTAACAATATTAATGCGTATTTTTCTCCTATAGGATAAAAGTCCTTTTTCACCTACATCCTGTAATAAAATCTAAGCTACGCTAATTATATATCTATTATAGTTCATATATTATATCATCATGGGCATCGAGGAAGAAGAAGAACAAATTAAAATCGAAACTGAGGAAGGTAATGCGCTCTATGGCTTCAATGTTAGTTATCTCTGCAGATGTTGATGATGCTGCTTCTGCATGATAGACTCCTTTAGGAACGATGACAGTGATAACCTGTATAGTATTTTACTCCTTTGCAGATACTATATATGTCTACACTATTTACATGGATTTAATAATGTTTTCCAGCTTGATTTTATCCAATATCAATTTGAACACATGCATATTCCTATTTCATCTATGCTTGAATCCAGGAGAGGACGCCAATCACGAAAGTGACAGTGATGATGACGTTGAAGATGGCGCTGGAGCTAAAGAAGCTGGAGGTATGCGGTGAATAGAAGTTGCTACCATTTACTATTAACGATGCATCCAAGTGCTTAGCTTTCGTGCTGTAGAAATGAGGAATAGCAGTATATGTTGTATAAATAGATGTACTACTAGCCTACAGTACAGTACAGTATAGTATAGTATGAGCGTACTCAAAACATCTATCATTACCTTAATCTGCAGAAGGTGGCGAAGACGAAGAAGGTGGTAAGGGTAAACAAAGTCGTAGTGAAAAGAAAGCGCGTAAGGCAATTTCCAAGTTAGGCTTGAAGGTTGTCACCGGTATTAGTCGTGTAACAATCAAAAGGTCGAAAAATATACTCTTCGTGATATCCAACCCTGATGTCTACAAAAGTCCAGCTTCAGATACTTACATTGTTTTCGGCGAAGCAAAGGTAAAGATTCTGATTAAAAAAATGCAAACTTGAAGCTTTTAAGCTATATTCACAATTGAAGATAACTCACCTTGCTTCCATTCCGATAGGTCGAGGATCTCAGCCAGCAAGCGCAAGTGCAAGCCGCTGAGAAGTTTAAAGCACCAGAAGAAGCAAAAACAGCTGCAGCTGGACAAGCTGCTAATGTTTCTACTATCCAAGAAGAAGAAGAAGAAGAAGAAGAGGAGGTAATCACTAATGCTAACTGAACTGCAGCTTTTAGCTTTGCTCCATTTCAGATGATAATCAATGTTTATATGGGAACTGTGATTGTTTAGGTCGATGAAACTGATATCGAAGCTAAGGATATTGAATTAGTGATGAATCAAGCCAATGTATCAAGAGCTAAGGTTGGTTTTCAAGCATGGAAAAAGAAATACGTCTCCCTTGTTACTTTATCTCAAATAATTGCATTAATCACTTCAAAAATCCTTTTCTAATCTAGGCTGTTAAAGCTCTTAAAAACAACAAAAATGATATTGTTAACGCAATTATGGTAAGATATATGGTGTAGTTGGATTTGACTGCAAATTATATTGGTGTAGTAGTTCGTTTTAATTCAATTAAGTGATTAATAATACAATGTACTGATACAATGTTTTATCGTATTATTACAGGAATTAACTATGTAACTAACTTGGCCGTAGCCCTATTTCACCCGCTGGTCTGTATTAAAGTATGACTCTGGAGGAGGAAGGGCGTGCAGCCATTTATATAAACCGACATTTAGTTGTTTGCAAGTTTTTGATTACATCTTTCCGTCTTGACTATCCCATCGTGTTTATAAGAATTAGTCAATTTTTTTTTCTTAATCGATACTGTTAACAGTTGTCGTTACGATATTGCGGCAATAAACTTATCTATCATTATTGTCTACTGGAGTGACTACGAACTACTGTGTTTATGCGCCAAGCATCACCTTAGGGGCTTAAATGGCATGACTATCTTTTTAAATACTGGCGTCAAGTCTAATTTAAATACAATTTACTACATTGTGCTGGTTGCTAGCTGACGTACTCTTCGCCTTCTGCAAGGATAAACGTCCTACCGAATAACACTACTGGCCTACTAAGGTTTTATTGGACAACCGTGATAGTTCATTCGTATCGACAGAGAATAAATTGACTGCATCAATTCCAGTTTTATTATATAAATAAATAAATATCTATCGTCTCATATTACTTGTATTTTAATTACATAATTCGTAGTACTCCATATCTCTCACATACAATACCAAGTGCATTACCGTAATGCTGTCGTCTTTATTGCAAGCAATACAACCCTTCTCGTGTAATCAAACGTAATTATAATATATATAATCAATAATGCTTTCAGTCATATGGTATATTTGTGACCATATATTCAATGTAACAATTTCCAGTAAAGTAGAAACTAATGCATACAAGGATATTGAACGATCTACAACGTCAACATAGGCTAATAATTTAGTACACACGGTACCGTGTGTAGATAAACTGCACAGTAACAATCCCTGAAATGGCAACTTACTATCAAGCTATTTAACGTTACGGCCATAAACATCTCCAACTTTTTTATGGATATATTGCATACGCTACGCTAACGTGTACTGGCATTAGAAGGGTACAAAATTTCTGATACGTCCAGTGATGTAGACATACAGTATGAATAGTGATGATTACATAAATTGATTGAAAAATGATTTGTCTTAAAATAACATTTTTTAATATTGCTTCGCTATGGTAATTCTAATCAACAAGTACAGGAAGCAATTAAATATCAAATCACACCATTATTTCGAGTAATGTGAATCTTTCAACTTTTTACATATATATCTCGAAACTAGCACCAAAGGTCGTCTTTCGTAAACATGATACATTTCTCCTTTGGATACTTGATCGCCATTGAGACGGTTCAAAAGCGCAACACAGACAATTGCAACACGGATGCCAGCTCGGCGACATAAAGACGTAAAACCAGTACACTCCATTTCCACGTTCAAAACTCCAGCTTTATGAGCATCATGTAAGTACTGCATTTTTTCTTCAGATGTGTACCCACAAAACGGACCATCTAATCGAGCTTGAGCTGCGGATAGTTGGAACAAGAAATTAAACTTTTTCTCAATGAAATTAGGCATCATGTGCATATCATAAGCTAACCAACAATCATAAAGCTGGAAAAGATCTGTTGTTGTATATACTCGTATTTATAGCAGCTGATATCAGCGAGTTCTTTAATTTAAGAAACATTTTAGAGCTAGTATTTAATACCTTCATAGAAATCATTGGCACACATTGTATCTCCATATCGTACGGGTATATCATCCCCACAAAGATCTTGTAACTCCTTTGCAAGTTCATCATCGGTGCCCGTTGGAAATCTTTGGGTTTTTCCCAAAATGGGCTAAAATGTGATAACATAACAAACATGAGTCAACAAATAGTTTATTTGCCTCTGAATAAATTAATAAACTGCGGAATCTGATTGCCACAACCTCTACCAATATTATCTCTATGCCGTCAACTGACCTATAAATGGCTTTTAAAAATGTTAGAGCTAGTGGAACTTACTATTTCATAAAAAGGCTCAAATTTGTGATCTAAAGCGCGCCTAGTAACTACAACGGTGCCAGCATCGATTCCTATATACCAACAGTCAACAATATTTAATTCTTCTTGCAAAGATATACTAATTTAATTAGTAGTAATATTACAAGCCCAACCTAAACCACCAGATGTGCCTACGCGAAAAATTGTAACATCTGTTACATCAGCGTAATGTAACATTTTAATCATTTCGCAAACTAATATCGAAGCGGAAGGAACCCCCATACCATGCTGTAATGTTAAAAATAATAATGCTATTAGTATTAAATACAACATCTAATTCGCTTTATCACGATACTCTTGATTTTTATGCTTAGTCAGTTCTATCAAATTCTAGCCATTTCAAGAAATATTTCCTTGAAAGATGCTATACTGTACAACAACCCATGCCAGGGGCTAAGTTAGCAATTCATTAACTAGCAATAATCCTCAAAATAATCATAATGAGATATAAGAGTTTATTGCAGTTAAAGAAAAATATAAACATACACTTGCACAAATGATGGGGCCAACTTTATACATGGAAAATCGATCGCTTTTGGTAAAGTCTTCTATAGAAATATTTGAATTGAATTTCACTTTTAGTTCTTCGCATAGCATTTGACTAAACCTCTTCATTCTGCCACTGCTACCACCCAGGCATACGAACTGCAAATTCAAAAACAGAACTAGAAAGTTTAACTAGTTACAAAGTTTAACAATGAGAAATAAATATTAATGCAAACAATTATTATTTTAAAAATAATAACTACGAATAAGAGCAAATGCAATGCAATTACAAGGATATCTATGTCATACTTAATAAAGGCTACCTGTTAATAAAGCATATAACTATAACAACTTTTTGGCAATGTTACGGGTAATAATAATAATGGAATCTAGTAAATATTAAGAGATTACAATTTATCTATTTATTATAATCAATGCTCAACTTATACTGAGCTACGCACTAACAAGGCATGCCTGCAACAATAACTTTTCAGTAATGATGGTGTAATACAACAATATCTAGTAAAATATCTAAAGATCACAATTTATCTATCCGTTACCAATGCGAAATCAAATCATATACAGTATTCTAAAGTATTGTTTTCACATTGCTCTAATCAATCGCGATGCAATAGTAAATTTGATTCTTCAAAATTAAAGATTCTAACCTTGACATCTCCAAAGTCTTCTTTCAAATTATCAGAAGACGCAAAACCAATATGATATAGTTTATCAGAATCAATTTCTTTCAAGTGCGGATTTGATAACTTTACTTTCTTGTCACCCATACTAGTATTTCCACTCTCTAGGAGGCAAAATAATAAAGTTATAAGTCATGATAATCATACTTAAGGGCATAAGTAATCTCGAACAAAGATATTGACATCAATGATTCAAAATTACAACAAGAGGAATGGTTTAATATCCATTTGGTATTTCCTTTAGTTGATAGATACATACAAATATGGCTGATATCAATATCATAACACTTGTTGTCTAGGGGAAATGTTCGATTTGCATAACAAGATCTTAATTTAATATGGATATATTTCTTTATAAAGTGTAGTAATTATTAACTAAGCTAGCAAATTTTGATCAAAGATACATGATCTAACAAGACTTTGTAAAGATTTCAACAAAATGGGATAGTACCTGGCATGAAATTATGTGTGATTATTACAACAGATTCATCACTCATTCCTTTGCAATTAAAAGTCGCAGTTGAATATCATTTTAGGTCATATTTTCCCTTATGGTATTGCACATTAAAACTTTCAGGAATCACAATTGTTTATCTTAGGCTGCAGCTAACGTGCGTCGTTTACAGTTTAGGCAACCAATACTTTACAGATATTATTATATTGTAGATATGAAAGAATAAAATCAAGCAAATTAAAATTATTACTCATTGAAGTATTTACAAGGAATTATATGATTTACCATCTAAAGTATCTGGAAATGTAAAGGCCCCTGGTTGCATTATACTGTATCATCTATTATGGCTTTAGGAAGCGTTTGATTCACCTGATGTGAATATGTTTATCTATAATCACTGATCATGATAATCGCTTGCGGTTAGGCATACGGTATAGCTAAGTCAATCATCCACATGATAGGATATAAAACGCATCTCTCCGTATTAAAAGAATGTGAAAAATCTTGAAATACAGTAAGTCATGATGAAATCATTGCTATGACATAAAACTATCCGATGATGAATTACATTGGCGTGGCATGCCGTACGAGTACAGCTGGAAATGAAATAGTGTTAAACTGCAGTCAGAATCGCCATCTATGTAATTACAAGGACGTCAAGAATTCTACGAAGAAAATGTGTCAATCATGCTATCATGCAATTTCCGTAGTCAATAAATTGTAATTTACCAATCAAAAGACTTTGATCGTTGAATGCATAAGGTTTACAAATTTCAATGATATGCTATGTAGTATTTTAAAACAAGAACTAATAAAGTGAACCCATCGTACGTATAATTACTATTGGCAACTTTGGATTGATTAATCTTACGGTGGCCAAAAACAGCCATTCATTCTCAAATAGTGCACAAGTGCTTCCGCTGCATGTAAGAGTTATTATAATAATAAATCAATTATCGCATAATATAACGAAGGTTATCAACGAGATTAGTCGACTTATTTTTACGGATGGAATGAAATTTGTGTTTACGATGTTTGACTCAGTGAACATCAGTTAAGCCCACCTGAGACGATCACGACAAGAAGGAAGGAAATTGCTCTAGCAGATCGTATTATTTCCCCTCCCCTTCCCACCCCCTTTCCTCCCATAACGCTATATCGACTGCGTAGTCCAATTAAAGGCCATCATAGGCATTCACATTTCAAAATAAATTCAATAAACAGTTCTTAAAAGCGTCAATAATAACGATTGTTGCACTATATCAAGACCTCACGTCGGTGTTGAAATCAGACCAATGTCTACGAATGATGTTCTTCTCCGCCAGCGTAAACAATATTTTAATTGGTGTCTTTCAAAAATGTAATAGAAGATTAAAAAAATAAATAGTACAATGGTTGTGGAATCGTTTCATTTGTAGATAGATTAATAAAGAAACTGAAATTTTTCTGTTTCATTGAATCGTTACAACAGGCATCTATAATGAACATCTGGCCATTGTAACGGAAAATTAATTTAATTGCTGTTGTAGGGTCGAGTACAATTCAAGGGAAAGTCATTCAGGTCAGGGTGGATAGCATATTGGTAAATTTGTTGATATTCCATCCTTTTTGCTATAGCATCGTTGAATGTAGAAGAAACAATTCAACCGATCAGCTTGATATAGAGTACAAAGGTCATAAGTAAGCTAGTATGAGTTGCGTTAAGAAGAAGATTTCAAACGTGAAGGATACATTCAAATCGTCAAAATAATTCGCATTGGGAAATAATCCATTTGATACAAGGCATATTAAAATGGGAGATGTGTAATAAGTGAGGCCAAAACTTATTATGAATTCAGGCAGTAGTTGGCAACGATCAACGTATAGTAATCATAACAGTGACAGTGCAGTAGCAATCGACTTATTGACTATACCATGTGAGTCAAAATAAAATGATGTAAAGTATCATGAGAAAATATCTGGGTGTTGCCAGGAATGCTACAATAGTTGATTATACAAAAAAAAAGAATGAGAAGGTTAAATTTGCATGCATTTATTCACAGCGTCTAACACAACTTGTGATCAAGGAAGATCATTAGTATGTCTGTTACCATGAACAGTCCATGATTTGGCATGGAATAGTAACGATTACTCCAGGTAAAAAGAAAATGCTGTGACCAACGATATCTAACCATGAAAATTCTCTAATCGCGCAGTAGATACTGCACACTTGATGAAGAGAACTACTTTTGCAGGCCGTAATGATGGCTTTGAACTACCTAGATAGATGAATAGACGATTGGATATTGCATCCATTTTATAAGTACTGAACTCAAGTTAAGGCTTGATGATCAATATCGTGCTGCATATTATTTTGGACAAATGCAATTCTCAGAGTCGAAATTAACAGTAAAAGTGGAACGTCTTCGGTCAGCGGCAAAGTAGCAATTGTAGTTGCGGAGAAATCAGTAGAAAAGAGAATAACCATTCAAAGAAGGAAATCAATGATCCATGATCCTCCTATACAATAATGTAGAGTATAGCTATGACGAAATTCTCCATTTGATGATACATGATATAGATCAGCACAGGCATTGCAAGTGCTATCGATTAATGATGCAGCAGCCATGAAAAGATGGGCGGATTCAAATTGTACCTTTGAATTGTCAATAGCTTGTTAACGTTAATAATTCATTTCAATCAAGCTATGCAGACAGTTGTATCGAAGTCGATTGAACATTTTCATCCATTGCATAAGCATGATGGATGATAACTTGTCAAGTCCATACTAGAATCAAACTGATCCTCTCTACAGTATTCTACATGAATAGAAATGGCAAGAGCTCAAGACGTGCAAAATTGTGTTTACTACGACTTATTCATCTATTGTCACTCAGTAGAAGAAATGATGGAGAACAACGAGCATCCATCTACCGCCGGTAGTAGTACAATCTATCCATGAATTAACCCATTCGATCGACTGTCATGAAAGAAAGAATAACTTGCAAGATTGAAGAATAACTTTACCCTCCATATTGAAATTTTCCACTTAATATTGCTTGATGGATCGATGATCCAATACCAACGTCGTCAGGCAGCTTCTTGCCTTTCTCCTAATACGAAATGCCCAAGCACTGATTTCTCTATACTGTAGTAGTCTACTGTACCGCTAACTCCAGCCAGTCCGCAAGAGGGGAGGGGGGGGGGTTCTATCGGAAGACCGTTGTATGGTCTGACCGAGGGTTGCGACAACCCTGGTGGTGGTGGTGGTGGTGGTGGTGGTGGTGGACCACCAACAATGGAGTCGAGGATGGGCTGAGGTGTCCATGCAAGCACGTACTACACCTGACTTCACTTTTATTGAACGTGAAGTACGCCGTACGTGCCACGACACGTCACCATGCCATGATAAGCATGACGTACAAACGATATCCTGAACAGTCTACAGTGTACAGTACATTGAGTGTACAGTACTGGACTGTGCACTGTACACTGAACACACACGGGCAGGGAACGCCATATTGGCTTGTAGTCGGGGAAGAAGCAAAACATCAACTGCCATACTGCTGCACCTTGACTACGAGGTGGCTTAGGAGTGACGAGTTGAAATGGAATCTTCTACGGCCAAAGCTGCCTTGGTAAAGCGATCAGTTAGACGATAACCGAAATAATCTTACCAGATGGTTACTCTTATTAATACTATCAAATACAGTCAAAAATACTGCATCCAATGATATGACTTTTATCTGCAAGAGCGACATGACAGTAAAGCTTTAGTTTACGTTACTATGATTACACCTTCAAAACACATCTCCACTGGCATTTGCTGAAATCACGACATCCTCGTATCTCTCGCTATATATTTATATACTATACCGATAATCAAGACCACTCGCCAACGATAGAACTTATCGTAAAATTAACTGAACATGAAAAATCAAAAATCATGTTCTTGTAATGAATGAATTTGCTGAAATCACGATATCATCATAGGTCACGGGTATGTAATCCAGATTGCTCTCGCAAATGACAGATCTCATCGCAAAATTAGCTGAACATGAAACATCAAAAATGACATTAGTGTCACTGACTGGAGTCTATGTTAGTCTTGGTTGTCAAGGTCTTCACTGTGTTTAATAAAGCTTTATTATAACTTAAGCCAACTAAGGTGTGCTACTGAGGTTGTCATTAAGGTTCAACTACGGTATTCAGTATTATATTAGACTAGTCTAAACGTTAACTAGTTCTCTACAGTAAGATCTCGTGTTGCATTGTAAACCAGCTTGTGACAGATATGTTGTTCTAGTAATGATTGATGCGTAGGAACATGATGGAAATATCACATAAGCCTCTGCTATGGCCGGTGCTACCATAACAGGCCTTTGTTAAGGCTAATACAAGCTGTAGGCAGACATAAATAAAGTAAAATCCGCACCGAAACCTCCTAAACCATCCTGTAATGCGGCAGACTATATCTTATTCTGGATAAGTTTACTAAACCACAATAAAGTTAGACCTACAAATTGAAGATAAAAATCTCCTTTTATTACAATATTTAAAAAGGTCCGTGTAAGCTAGTCTATAATAGTAATAGATAAACCAATGGAATAACATTTTCAGCAGAAGCATTTTATGCCACTTGCTGTTACAATCT